TGTTTTAGTGTGCGTTCGGGAGCATAAGCGTATATTCAAGCATCCATCAAAATCTACCCTTGCCAATTAGCAGCCATATGTAATCTTTTACATGTTTGAATTTGGTTTTAATGAGTGTCGATGGGTAGCCGTCAACATCATCGTCATCGTCGCCGTTGCATGAAATTGTCCCGAGAATCGTGAAAAATGCTACGTACGAAGCAGCCTTATTGGGCGACAAAGGAAAAGAGAGAGAGGGAGAGAGAGAAGAGGAGCAAACAGCAGAGACATAAAAGTGTGCGAATAATTGATTGAAAACGGCGTCTCGTGTTTTGCATAATTATTTTAGATATTCAATATGTGAGACGGCGTCGTCTCATTTGTGGCAAAGTGTTTTATCCATTTCGTAACATCGATTCGTCGCCAATTTATTTTTCAGAGACACTGACACCATTTAATGTCATGGCTAGCCGAAAGTGGAAGAAAAAAGTTTTTTTTTCTCGACAAACTGAATGAACGGCTAAAGAGATAGAGAAAAAAAGCAGCATGGCCATGGGCAAACGTACATGCTCTCGCGCGACCATCCTAGTCATCATAAATTATTCATGCTGTTTTATGTTCCATGCATGAGCTATTACAATCACTTCATCTGGTTAATTGCGTTTATTTTTTTTCACCCGCTTTCGCTTCCGTTCATCCCACCAACAGCAGTTGCTGGTCCTCTTTCATTGATCCATTTATCTATTAAAATGGTCGGGATACACACTATTTGGAGAAGTGACCGAATACGATTACCCATCATGACTGACCGAAGGCTAGGTCAAGCCGAGTCTAATCGGCAAATCAAGCCACAAAAATAATGCAATTCTTGTATGTGGATTTGTGTGTGTGTGTGTGTGTGTGTAAGCTTTATCTCATTCGCAATGGAACATAGAATGGAATTTCAATTTGTCGTCCCTTTTTGCTATTTCGTACATGGCATTTGAATAAAATTGATTCTGTTCGTTGTAGCGACAACAACAACAACAACAAAGAAAATAAAATAAATGTGGAAAACGCTGGAATCCGAAAAGAAGCTTTACGTTGAATTGTACGTTATGTCAGAATCAGAAAGGGAGTGCGAAAGGCAGAGAGCAAAAAAAGGCAGAAAGTAAAAGAAAAATTCAATTTCTCGCGCGTAAATAGAATGACACAGACATGATGGTGGTCGCTGGTGTAAAACGACAACAAAACAATTCACCCGGTCTAATTTTCTTTGAACGAGTGTGACATTTAAAAAAAATAATCGTCTTTTCAACTAAAAAGCCATGCTACCATTGACAAATCATTTAATTTTCTTCATACATTTCGATCCGTTTATACGATTTAAGCCAACAAAGAGCTATTTAAGAAATTGTCTGAAATGAACGAACTTTCATAGCCTCGAAAATTTTATGCCTTTCTCGCACGAGTTTTCACTGGCCAAACCCATGTTGTTGTTTTTTTTTCCACTTTGCACAAAATTGGCAGAAGACACACATACACAGTCACCCGGGCAATGGCAAATTGAAAAAAAGAATCGACGAAAATAATATTTGTTATCGGATGAATGTACAGTGTAGAACAAAAATACGCAAAAATTGCTACGGTTAATAACTCACGAAATCAAACAAATCATAACGAAATAAAAACAATGTAATTTCGCTAAAGCTTAGCCAGAGAAAAAGCATTACAAAATGATTTTCACGCTTGAAAAGTCACATTTTCCTTTTCGACATCTCTGTGGGAATTTAAAACATTGAACCCGTACTTTTGACCAGCAGTGTATGGCTTATGTTGCTATAAATATCACGGGCAAAAAGTGATTGAGAAGGTCGCTACGAAAGAAACGGCTTAAAAGAATAATATTAAATTGTGCTTTTTTTCTGTTTGGTTTTAAATATACGAGCTCTTTAATGGAGAAATGAAGAGCGAGTGGTTCGACTGGGTAGCTAACAATGTACCTTCTTCGAACGAAATGACATTTCTCTCTCTCTCTCTCTCTCTCTCTCTCTCTCTCATTTTGCTCATTTATTTATTTAGATATCTTGTCCAATTTAAGCGCTTTGATTTCGTTGGGATGCATTATTTTATGATACGATTATCGGTGTCAAGGTCTTCGTGACCGATTAAGGATGAGATGTGGTATTTAGTTGCCTTTCATTCTGCAAAACACATCAAGAGCCGACGGAATGTATGCATGTGTATGTGTATGCATCACATGCGATGGACAATGTTTGTTCATAAGCCTGACATGACAATGATGGCGCTTGAAATGGAACAGTGCGACCGAGACAAAGAGCGCCCTGAGTGCATGGATGTGATGAATTGTGATATAGCGTGAAATCAAGTGAAAATACCGTCGCGTATTTGATTTAAAGCCATCTATGATGCAAAACTGTCGATGACTTTATGAACTGCGAATAATAAAAATAACCGAAGCAATGAAGTACAAGGTCCTGTCCATCGATTCAAAATTATATGTTTACAACATTATGCTTTCACAGTGTAATTATTTTAACATCATCGCTGGTTCGCAGACTGGAATTGTGCGATGGCGACGACGACAGCGCGATGAAGATCGTTGTCACTGTTGTTTGTTTTCGAAATGCAATTCCATCCCAAGTGAAGCTTTCAAAGTTAAGAACACATCAGCGCGACAAAAGAAATGTAAAATATTGTAATGAAAGAATCTCGTCGTAAAATCACAAAAAAAGCAGTGAGTGTGACTAGGTGTGTGTGTGTGTGTGTGTGAGAGAGAGAGAAGGAAAGGGAGAGAGAGTGGAAAGAAGAGAACGAGATTCACAGAAGCATTTGAAAATTACTTTGCAAGCGGCTGTAAGACTTTAAGAAAACAAGAACCAAGTGATAATTACAAGATAAACAAGAAACAGTAAGTATTCAAGCATATTGTAATATGCCTTTTATACGTGTAACAAACGACTAGACGATACACATCACATAAATCTACAGCGCGTTACAATGTGCTTGTGCTATAGTTCAGCCAAAACCAACCGAGCCATGGATCGTTCGAAGAGGAGAATTGACTATGGAATCCAACGAGAGTTATTCGTTACCGTTCACTAGCGTCATGCAATATTGTCTGGTGTTGCGAGAAGTAAGTCACATTTTCCAGCTGAAACAGCGACAGGAGCAGCCACAGCGAATGAACGATGAACCGAAACACAAAATGAACGTTTTCTGTGCGCGCTTTTCAAATGCTGTGCACCCGACGTTTGAACGCACAGCAATGGTGACGCAGCCGCTGTAATGTTTCGGTACGGCTTTGTAAAGGTTTTTGTTGTTGTCGCCGTCGTTATCGTCGGTGACACAATGATAAAAAGCTCGGTCGCGTCTCCAACGCCAGCACAATCATGATTGCAATCAATATACAAAAATCATCACACACCGTTCGATTCACTCAGTGATTCAGTGCTGGTTTAATTCTTTATGCACATATCCACGTCCACAGCATAACATGTGTTCGGTTTGGTTCGTTGCAAACATCTCTTGTGCTTGCTGCTGTTGCCTGCTTCTCAGAGGTTTACATGCGTTCCGCATGTAACCAATTCACTGTTGCTACTGCTGCTGCTGCTAATGTTATGTTGTACGCCAAGTTAGACCGTATACACGGCGGTATAACAGGTTGACGGACTTAAAATCCGAGATTACACACGCTCCTCAGTCCTCATTCATTCGACATATAATTCGGTTACAACAGCCGCTGTGTACTCAGTTAAGCATCAGGCCACAGGGCCGTCGGACGTGTTTTCTCCAATTTCTCACTCAGTGTGTATATTTTGAATAAAAGGAGCTAGTTGATAAAAGCCAAAAGGGACACACAGTAATTCGCTCAATAATATTTTGGTCTCGACATCGATGAACGCGCGAGTTGTAGCAAGCGAACAACAGCAGCATCAATCCCCGCATAGTCAGATCAGTTCGTGACTAACCGTGAATGTATGCATTGCGTTTAACGACAAACGAACCACGCACTACACAAAATTGTTGTGCATTATACGACGACCGACCAAAGGTGTGTGTTGTTGTTTCATTTTTTTTTTCGTTTGTTGCTCGTCGTTATTGAGAGCATTCGCTCTCGCTCATTTGCGAATAAAATTACAGCAAAAGACGCCAAAATTAAATTGTAGTCTACATATTTTTCACATCGTTAGTCCATTCGATCGCACAGTCCCGTTTTTATTGCGGTCTATTCACTTGTTCGGATGATCATCGTGCTGTAGCAGTGAAACGACTATTTCTCACACCAATTCACAGAATTTTTGCTCGTTGTTTTTTTTTCGTTCTTACATTTCAACCGGGAACATACGAAAATTAATTCCGTTTACATTTTCACAGTGCTTAATTTAAATGAAATAGAACTTTAAACACACACAAAAAAACACTAACAATTAAAACTATTATACATTCATATTGTTAATGAACTTTTCATTATGTTCACTGTACTTTGCAAATCAAAAAAATAAATTATATTAAGATTGATCAAGTGAAGGAAGGAAAAAAAGCGACTCCGTATGGTTTTAATCAAGAAAATGAGGCGAACAAAAATGTAGCCGAAACAACGAGTCAAGCGAGTGAGAGCAAAAGAACAAAAAAAATATGTGAAATGTGCGAATAAACGAAATATTGTTCGTGATTTTATTCTTTGTAGAATGATCTGAATGAAAACGTCGGGAACAAGAAAAAATTGTACAAAATGAAATGGACGTGGTGAAAAGTTTGTGTTAAATTTGGAATACGCAAATGGAACAAGAAGAGAACGAAAGAAAAAAAAAAACAAATTATTTAAATGAAATGACATTTTATGAAAAAAAAAAATTGGAGCGACAAAAAATAAAATAAAATACAAGACAAAATGAACTTTTAGTATGACTTGAATTGAATGTGATATTTAAATTTATCCAGAATACGGTGTGACAAAAAAGAAATTCCTAAGAAATAAACGGAGAAACGAAAGAAATTTCTTAACACAATTTCTGGATGTCAGGAAACAGGATCAACGAGAGCACATTTTAACGTTAGTATTCAATCACAATCATTTTTTTTATCTCGTCGTCCCCAATTGAATGTTGATTTTCTGATGTTATTTTTTGTCGAGCTGTGTTCCATTTCTTTTCGCAGCAGTCAAATGATCAGAAACATTCATTTTTGCCCTTTGCTGTGTCCAGTGTGCACACTTGAACATTTTTTTGTTAGTTTAAACAAATAACATCAGGCAGGAGACAGAAAGAGAGAACAAGAGAGGAAGAGTAAAAAAATGTGAAAAATTAATTTTTCTTCCAATGCAATTATTTTTTTAATTAAAATACAAACGTTAATGGACGTATTTGCTAGGCAGTTTTTTTTCTGTGACTATAAATGAAGAGAAAAAGAAAAAAAAGTATTCTTCTGAACAAGAAGAATAAGATTTATTGTTGTTTCTTTTGGGTTTTCAATATAGAAAGAGACAGATTTGTGGAACATCAAAAAAGCGCTCAGCGTGTACGTGAAATTAAATTGGGAGTTATGTTTTTTGTTTGTCGCTTGTTTTCTATCTCGGACTCAACTGGTGAAAATCGGACAGAGAGAACAAAAAAAGGAAAAAGCTCACTTGAACCGTTGGAATGTGATTTGGAAGTGTATACAATTGGCTTAAGTCAGAATGTATTAACATTGAATGGGCATTTGAGAAGCAGTTTGTAGCAGACGACTACGACGATGACTCAATTTTCACTTTTACAATCGATTTATCGCTATTAATTCCAGCATCACATCTCTCATTCCGCCGAAATTGGAAATTGTAATGGACAGCAAATGTAAAATGAAAATCGAATTTAACCGTAAGAAAAGGGAAAAAAGTGGAAAGAGAATGGAAAAAAGAACGAATCTCATTGAAATTCATTTTTCGTCGCATTGTGGTTTTTCCAACACATTTTTTTGTCGCACAATTTATTTATTTTGAGCTAAGCGAAAGCAGCCAAATTGAAGAAGAAACACATACACTGCCGTACATAACCAAACCGAATCTAACTCATAACTGTGGGTTTCTATTGAAGTTATTTCCAGTGTCTATATTATCACTTATCCACTTCTCATCCCAAATGCCGTTGGCGTGGGTGAGATTATTTTTGTTATATTGCCGTTTATGTTAAATTAGCTGCTTCATTTTTATTTTGTGGGCTAAATATGATTTCAAAAGTTTCCATTCCGTTTCAGTGCGTACATTTCCTTCTAAATGATGATGATGATGACAACAACAAACTTTCCCCCTTACCCATTCGCTCCCATGCCAAAACATGTGTGTGAAATGATCTGACAAAAACTTTATTCTTTAGTCGGTGTGCCTTATTTACTTCGGGTTACAATAAAACAAAAATTAACCACCGTTGCCGATTCTTCTTCTTCTCTCAAACTTCTGCTTATGTAGTTACAGTGTGCGTTCGTGTGTGTGTGTGTGCAGGCATGTGAAATATGACGTGTGTCTCGTTTGTTTTTCGTTCATTTCAACTAAATTTCCTAATATTAGCAAACAATTTTTTTTCTCTCTTTCTCTCTCTCTCTCTCTCTCTCTCTCTCTCGACTTTCTTCCACCATATGCTGTCTTCAGCAGCCCAAACTTCTTTGTTGTCAACCTGAACTGAGAGAGCAGGCGGGAGAATTTCCCAAAAACCAAAAAGAAAAAATAAAAACGCCGATGAACGTACAGCCACCGCTTAAAATGTGACTAAACGGGAAATAGAAGCATGAATTCACGCATTGCCATGGTAAATTTAGTAGCTTGATTTCAGAAAAACGTCATTACCATAGCTCACTTTCACTGTTCTTCAGAATCCCAGCTTGAACGGAATTGAACCAAATAAAATGCGGAAAATTTGATATTACTTTTGAAGATAATGCACAATCATCTCGTTTTTTGGTGTGTATTTTTTGTGTTCTTCAACTTATTCTTTTCCATTTTTTCTATCGCTTCTCGCTCTTTTGTTCGGCGCTATGCGTTCGTATTTCATGGAAGCACAGAGAAAAGAAAGAACGGTTGCCAGGTAAAATATTGGTTGCTTGTACCTATGGCAGTCGAAATTGTGAATGAAAAGAGCTCTATTACGTTGAAATGCAACACATTTTTCCGGTTCCAAATAAAATACAGCTTCTTCCACCGAAATTTAAGCGAAGAACGAACAAAAAATACTGACCTTTTCATGGTTTGTATTAACTAAAATTCATTCCACATTCGCTGTATCCATACAAAAGCTTTTGATCTCTGGATGTGCGTTATTTGATTGTATCAGTGATTTGCAAGCATTTTTTTTTTGTTGCTTTGTTTCTTAATTTAATTAACTTAACCTTTTATGGTGGTAATTGTTTGTGCCAGAATCACGGATGTCCGTTATCGTTACCGTCTCGTTCGAACGTGCATTCCAAGAACGAAAACTATTGTCTCTGGCAAAATTGTTATGTAGCGTGGATGATTCAATTGTTTTTGTTCGTTGAATGGGGAAGGGGGAGATGGTGCTACTGATGATGGTGGTGGCAGCAGTGATGGTGGTATGGTTCACGTACGGTATAATATGTCATTTCAAAATGTGATGCTCGTCGAAGCAGATATAAGATTTAATATGTCAATCGATTCGCGTTGTGACTCTCCCTCATGCATACATACAAGCACTTGAATGGAATGCCGTGCAATGGCACACTCGATATCCATATTTCCAAACAAAGAAAAATTGACGCAAAGATTGACACTGTTTCACATTTACAGAAATTAATTTTTCCATCGATCCCATTTGCTGCGACAACGATGATGGTGACAACGATAACGAAGAGAGAGAGAGAGAGAGAGAGAGAGGGGGGGAGAGAGGGAGAGAGAGAGAAGAGAACGCGCGATGCAAAGTATGCGAAGAAAAGGAGAAAATTATTATTGAAAATCACTTTTGCAACGGCTTGAACAGTTTCGAACTTGATTTGTGTGCCGTGCTTGTCTTTCAAATTATGAGTTTTCTTTTTCGTCTTCTTCTTCTATTCTATCAATAAAAAAGGGATCAATTTATAGGCGAAGATATCGCAAAAAAAAAAACAAAGCCGAAAGACAACAGCACCAGCATTTCCATATGCATACGTATACCCGTGATGGAAAAAAAAGAAGTGAATAGGCGCGCGCTACGCAACCAGAAGCTTTTCAAAATACAGAGCAAGGGAGTCAAAGCAGGAGAAAGAGAGAGAGCGCGTGTAAAGTAAAGGAAGAAAAAAAAACAAAGGAAATTAAAGCCCAAAGATTTTAACGAAAATTCCGAAATTTTTATATTTGTGTGTATAATCTCTACCACAAAAACGATAAGAAATGTAAACGAAACGGAAAAAGTTTCGCATTTTGTAGACATGCTCGTAAAAAAAAATTCAACGAACGACCTTTTCAATACTTCTACGGCTGATTGTGATTCTCATTTTCGATTTTTCTTTCTCTTGTTGTTGTTTAATTTCAAAATTCATTTAATATTCAACGATTTCACCATTTTTCGACGATTCTTTTCCGTTTTCCACTCAAAGAACATCCAAAACGATCTGAAAGTGAACGAAGCAATTGTTTTGGAGTGCGTGTGTGAGTTTGTGTTGAGTCGGCATGTTTGGCATTTGACTCACTCTCTCTTTCATATTTATACGTTTCAACATATCGAAAGCTGAGAGTTACATGCTACGATTGCTGCTTATCTCAACAGCAGCAGCAACAACAACAGCAACAAAAAACCAAATTCATAGCGTATATGAATAGTATATTAAGAAAATTGAAAATTTCACGAGCCTTGCGATTCCTTCCACAGTTGATAAGCATTGATTGAAATGAAACTCCCGCCACGCGCATAAGAAACAAAAATTATTTACGGCAAAAATAATACAAAAAGCTCAACTGCCATATCATTTTGCGTCTTCCGATTGAAAAACAAAGCCTAAGTAAAACAACAACAATCGAAAAAGCTGAACGAAGAAAAATCTTGACTCCGTCTTTCTTACCCAACTGTCGAGAGGGTAGTTTGACGGAAAAAATAAAATATATTTTAATGGGAATGAAGTTGATGTCGGTGCGTCGTTCGATTTTGCATCTGAAGTAACAGTAGTAGTAACAACCAGGAAAAAAAAATAGGATTTTGCGAAGTGAAATGGCATGGAATATCACTTAGCATATTTCATGTTGTCGATGGTGTTTACTCACACGCTCGCTGACATTTTTCACCAACAAACGTTCGCGAATTCGTTCACATATAAATTAATTGGAGCAATGTGCATGGGGACCGTAATTTTGCAGAAAAAGAAGAACGATTTCCAATGAAAATCGATACATGAATTTGATGGAGAAAAACCAAAGTTTCCAAATTACAATTGATATCCACCAGGCGAATGAATCAAAATTTGCGCACTGGCTTCGGATTTAAAGTGTATCGGTTTCTGGTTTCTTTTTCAACCTCTTTATCTCTCTGTCTCCCGCACTCTCCCGCACCGAATCTTTCGACGAATGTAATGGAGCATTTAAAGCCACATGACGCTTACTTGGAACGTTACGCATTTCACTGCGCCATTGACTTGTTTCCTCTAGATATATGTATATAGCGGTGGAATGGTTTTAGGTAACTGAAAATCGACCTCCATCGTCATTGAATACACAAACACACACATGTATTCAAAGCATTCGTTTAACGAGCACAATTGAAAGTAATTAAATTTAATTAGATAGACTTTTCATATGCCAAGAAGTATGTACGATAGACAAAGAGGCGCTAGAGAGCAAGAAAGCAACGAAACTGACAATTGCCAAGCTAGCTCGCACTCTTCACCTCACGTTCACTCACTCGCTCGCATACTCCGCAGCTGATTATCAGACAAGGCAATCAAGGCAACATCGAAACCAAGTACCACTAATTAAACACTGCTTTGTTTGATTGTAATGACAATTCGACGACAGCAAAGCAATAATCGGATCGAATGTTCGACTAAAGACGACATTCCTATTAATAGCAATATTGGGAATAGCTGACATTTCTCTCTCTCTCT